CACCCACACATAACTGAGCTTAAATGCATTTTCCTCTAGCAGGTTTAAAAGGAGGCATTGCTGCTCTCGATCATCAAAACAGTACTTTACATCAGAATGTCTGTAAGCCGTTACACAACATGATCACTTGACAAAGTTCGGCCTAGTCAGGAAGATAGCGTGTGGGGAGAAAAAAAAAAAAAAAAAACGGTGTTCCCCTTTAACGTCATGAAATGTGATGTATCTCCAAAGTCAAAACAGTAAAGTTCTACTCATTTCAATTTCCATCATTACTCTTTAGCTGATGCAACAATAAAGACATTTTTGAAGGGTTTTGAAGAGAGTGAGCTGCAGGAGGGCAACAGTCACCCTTTTGAACACTCTGGCCCTCTAATAATCAGGCTTTTTTACATGCATTAATTTAGGAGAGGGCATTTAGTGGGACATTTTCAGAATCTCTGTTATATCTTTTAGTTTTGTTGTCATTATCAGTGGCCCCCATCCAGCTGACCCCTGGAGAACGTTCTGGAAGTGTCCCTGCCTTGAAATAATTGTTAGAGCATTTCATTATTCATTCATGGTGTTATTTCCCTATTTCTTTTCCCAGTTTTCCATATGGGACAGTGTGACCAGTTGGTGGGGATCCGAAGAGCTTGGAGCAATACGGAGAAGAAAAAAGCCAATAGGCAGAAAAGTAATTCTAAAACCGAAAGCTAAAGAGTGAAGCATAAAAAATGTTTTCTTTGATGGATTCACAGGATTCCTGAATAAAAAGTACAACCAAGTACAGACTGTCTTTGATCATGGTTATTTTAATGTTTGAATTGTTATACATATGAGGACAGAAAGAATAATAAAACATGCACATTGTAACATCTATGTGAAAGAATCATACATATCTGTTTAAATAATGTGAATTTACCATAACTGTATAAACCCTGCATGCAGAAAGCCACAAACTTTTAGCGACAGCCGCACTCTTTGGCTATCATATCCGGCTTGATGGAGAGAAAGCTGCCCTCGTCGTTCCAGTCAATCACCTCCAGGGGGTCGTAGGTCAACGGCACGCAGCAGGGCCCCCGCTCGTTCACATTGCCCCTCTCGATGTGATAGTTCAGGAGGACTGCGTGGTTGTTGCCGTTGGATAACGGGAAAGCACATGAGCCGCGGCAGTTGTTGAGGTTGGCGCTCTGGGGGCCCAAGAGGAGCTGTTCGAGGGACACTGTGAGACTACCCAGCCCGCAGATGGGTCCCCTGGTGGAAGGGCCTGCTCTGGTGGCCCTCAGCTTTCCCTGTATGTTGTATGCATGGGTCACCGTCTGCAGGGCCTTTAGGAGGAGGAAGGCGCAGTATTGGCTCTCTCCTGTTTGAAACAGGAAACAAGAGATCAGTTTATATCTTCGTTCTTAAACAGCATAATTTAAAGGCCCATGCTTTTTTTCCTAACACCTTCTGCTGCAGGTTCCTGCCTCTGAAAAGCACTGAGCTCTCTGAGTCTCTCCAGCTTCTCTGATGATCTGGGTGGTATGGCTTCCTGCCGTATCAACTCCTTTATCTGCTGCTCATTCTTCTCCAGCCTCTGCCCAAGCTCCTCCAGCAGAGCAGGGGAGAGGGCCAGCTGTCCAGGACGCACCGGGAAGCAGGAGCTCCAGCTGGCGAAGGAAAAGATAGTGGGGGCAGAGGAGTTAATGATTTCCGCCAACAGGGCCTCGCTGGTGGATAAGCCGAGAGCCAGAGGAGGAAGGGACTGCAGGGAGCCGAGCGGCAATAGAGGGGGCTCGGTGCGTTGCTGAGGCAGGACAGCATCTAGGAAGCGCCTCAGTTCACAGAGGAAGGAGGCAGATGATGTCTGGAAGGAGGCCACTGATTCACTTGACCTGTTTACATGTTTGGGAGATATACCAGTCAGAATTGATCCAACACATCAGTTTAAAGAGGGAACATGAAACTCAAACCCACCTCCGATCACTTCCTGTTTCTACGGAAAAAAGCAGAAGTGGAATCATGCGAATGCTGCTTCCTGTATTTCCACCAATAAGAACATCTTTTAGGTTTTGTTCTGCGTGACAGGAAGCATAAGGCGATAAGACACACCACAAGACATTAAGAGAAAGAAAAATAAAAAAAACACATCTTACTCATATTTGGGGATTTTGCCTGGAGAGAAACCTGCCATTTCTGTTCAACGTTTCCTTCAGATGGTTTTCCTTTTAGCAGTATGTACATCGTTCCCCCTGAAATGCAAGCAGACTAGGAAAAGAAACCTGTGGTCACAGCAGAGTGAAACCCGAAGATGAGGAAAACTTGAACAATAAACTTAGAGAACCCCATCAACAGAATCCTGAGGCACAAATAAACAGCTGCTGCTGCATAGTGCCCTCCTCAGACTCATTATACATCTATATAGAATTAACATATTCTTACAATTATGTCCAAGGTTGTTAATAGTAGATTTGACAGAAGATATTATGCTTTTTTTATTCAAACTTAAAGATATACTTAGCTTAATTGAAAATAGTTAGAATTTTATATTTATTGCTGACCTAATGTAAGTAGTTGAATCGTTTTCCGATTTTTCTTTTTCTGCAGGAGTCACATTTCAGACATACACCGGAAAAAAAAATCAAAATCTAGATAAGTCATACTTTCTTAAAAAAAGTGATTTTTTTTCTTGAATTGAGGAGGTGAAAGAGACATTTTGCCAATGCAACAGGACAATGTACACACAACTGCATTGTCTTATTTCAAGTTCATATTATAATTTTTTAAGAGTAAAAATACAAATTCCATTGGCAAAATCTCATTTACCTACTTGAATTAAGGATAAATATACTTAATTTAAGAAGTTTTTTTTCCATTGCACTGAATCAAAAGTTGCTTTTACGCAGTCAAAATTTAGAAAAAGCCCAGCTGACTTTAATTAAGTTTTCTACGTAACATGACATGAATGCCTACGAGTATACACTAGCATCTTCAAACACATTTTGTGATGCATGTTGAAATCCCCTGACTAATAATCCTTATTTTCATATGTTATGGTCTGGTAAAATATATTCTGCAAAATATAACTATTGATTTTCATGTGTTACATTAACCACGTTAAAAAACAACGCTTGTGCTGTTATGGATGATTAGTCTAACTGGAAGACCCCCAGTTAGATATGAAAACCAGTTTCACTCATTTTTACCACAAACTGTGTTTTTTTTTTTTCGGTACCTGTGTGTTTGGCCTGAGAGAAGTACTGTAGAAAGTGACGTCCATCTCTCCATCTGGGAGGGGGCTTTCAAACGCCAACACCAGCACTGGTTTCAACTTGAAAAACGGGGACTGAGGGAGGTCAAAGGTTGCCATGATGGTTTCATCATCTTCCACTGATATAAGCACTAATAGAGAAATATCATCATGTGTCACCAAAACTATATATAAGAAATAAATAATGAAAATTGTTCAAATTAATTACTGCACAGCTTTTAAGAATTGATACCTGCAGCCGGATCCAAAACCTCCACACCTCTTCTGCTGTTCCTTCGTATTCCTTCACTGAGTTCTAACAGGACTGATAGGGATGAGTTATCAGAATCCTTGCACATCCCAAACAAAGTCGAGCTGCTGTTTACAAGTTCCCCATCTTTCCCTGTGGCGTCATGCAGCGCTGCAACCAAGTCATCCACAAAGCAGGGAGACTTCTGCAGCTCTGTGGAATAAATCAGAAGAACTGGAGAATGAGCATACACATAAATACATGCAACTTTTCTTTTAAGCAAGACTAACAGAAACACTATTAAATCCTGACCTGTTACTGTAGGACCAACGCTGCTCCAGAGCAAAACCAACACCAACATGTTTAACTGTGGGGGTGAATACCTGTGTAGTCCCATGTCTCCTAGTCGCTTGTTTGGTTCGGGTGAAGATCCAGAGGATGGGAGTTAACATCCTCCCACCTTTCCTTCTCACTGACAGGGGAGTCAAAGTAGGAGGAAAAAAAGATGCGTCCTTGATGATCTGAAATGGTTGTTGCAGAGAAAGGCAGAAGGCAGGTTGGGTGGCTTCTTGAATCTCCTTAACTTTGACAAATTAGAGAGAAAACAAAAATAAAGGGAGGATTTAATCTGAAACAGATTCATTAGTTATGTTTTCATCTACTACTGCTGAGCACAATGACACACTATAGCCAAAACACTGTGCACTTACTAGCTTTAAGCATTATGCTAAAGACTGAGACATTTACTAATTATATAT